CTTAAAAACACACACACACACACACACACAGACACACACACACACACACACACACACACACACACACACACACACACACACACCACTGGTTGTCCTTTTTAAAAAAGAAAAGAAAAAAAAATGACAGGATCTTGATGTAAAGGCTAGTCTCAAACTTGCAGTGATCTTCCTGCCTCAGCCTCACAAGTGATGGATTTCAGGCCCGCACCACCATGTCTGCTTTGACTGTCTAATTATAAATATATACAAGGATGGTGAGTAAAGGAGTGTGGATCTAAGAGGACAGAGCAAAGGAAACTTCTCTAGACTAGGAGATCAGAGAAGTCATTCACAAAGTGGTATTTGAGCTGGTTTCAAAAGGACGAAACGCTGGTAATGAGAGCAAGAAAGGGGCTCCTACATGGAGGAAAGGCACGCATGGTGATGACATGCAGAGGCCATGAGGCTGGGACACCAGTCGAAACAAGGTGAGGCTGGAGAGAGAGGAGGCCTTATCATCCACAGTGACTTTCCTTGTTAGCCTCAGAACAATGTGAAGTCACTGATGGTCTCATAGTGTTCGTTGAAAGATCACATTGTTGAAAGTGAGGTGGCTCCTTCAGATTACAGTGGTAGCCTTGAGGAGAGAAGTGGATGGCATGATCCATACCAGGAAACCTTTAAAAAGTAAAATTTTCCAGATCTGATACTGCATTCATTATGCTAAGGAAAAATAACAGGAGTCTAGAATGAGTCCCCAGATTCTGACTTATACAAACATGTTATCTTTTTCTGAAATAAAGAAAACTGAGTAACATCAGGTTAGGGATAGTCATCAACTCAAGGACCAATCTACATCTCAAATCATTCCAATATTTATTAAATACCTACATGATTAAGAGAACTAACTTTGTTCTAACACCCCTAAGTTAAAAGAATACTTTTACTGAAGATGAGAATTTGGGGGTACCTGGTATTGTTGGATGAGAATCAAACAGGTCTTGCCTACAGGTTCAATTATGGTAGACAGACTGAACAAAGCACTACTGACCTTAACTCCTATATCAGGCAATTTATAAGGAGCTATAAATTTTCCATTCTCTTTCAAAAATCCTATCAAAAGACTCATAGATACCAGTTCAACAGATAATACTTTTAACAGATTTATTGTTTGAACAACAAAAAAAAGAAATCTATAGGCTACTATTAAGTGGAATGCACTGGAATCCAAATGATAACTATTTTTTAATGTTTATATAGATTCATATTTAGTGTGAGCAGAGCTTTCAGACTCCATTATCAGAGTCCATTTTGAAATTGTAAAAATTTTTCCATGACCCAACACTGTCCTCTAGAGGCCATCTCTAATATGGTCTCTTACACAAACATGTTTAAGCAATGGCATTTAAAACAATATAGTTGCAACTATTCTAAATATAACATGGAATGTTGAATAAGTAACAATGATTTATATTATAAGCTGATTTAAAATTTAAATAACTTCTTACTTTTAGGATGCTTTTTAACAGAAAAATTGCAAAGGTAAGAAAATTTCTTATACCAGTCTCTCCTATTGTTTTAATTTTTTTTTTCAAGCTTATTGAGACAAGATTGACAAATTAAGATTTGTACATTTTAGGAATATAGACAGATGTTTTGATATACATATATAGTGAAATGATTACTATAATTAAGGTAATCACAAATCTATCGTCTCATTAATTTCCTTATGTAGTAATGAGAACATTTAAGATCTACTCTTTTTAAGCAATGGTTTAATGATTACATAAATCTATGGATTAAAGGGTCTTTAAGATCAAACACAAGGGGGCTGGAGAGATGCCTCAGAGGTTAAGAACACTGACTGCTCTTGAAGAGGACCCGGGTTCAATTCCCAGCACCCACATGGCAGCTAACAACTGTCGGTAACTCCAGTTCCAGAGGATCTGATGCCCTTTTCTAACCTCCGCAGGCATTACACAACATGGGTGCACTTACACACATGCAAGCAATACACTAATACATAAAATAAAAATAAATTTTAAAAAGATCTAACATAAAGGCTGAAGAGATGGCTCTGAAATACATAAGGATCCATATTTAGCAGCTCTCATAGTTTTGGAGGACACTATGCCTGCTGCTAAGGGAGAAAATCAACCAATAGTCCAACCCCAGCTTGAAAGTCTAATAACCACAACAATGACCAGCACAGCAAACTCTATTGGTGCAGTAGGGACACTTTTAAAGCCCACTCAGTGGGAGGAAACTCATGTGTGGCACTGTAAACATAACCAAATACACACAGTTGGAGAGGTCATAGATCTTAGAAAAACCAGCATAGAACTGGGGAAATGGGCAGGAGGCCATAACTTTGGCAAAGACCTATTGGCAGCTGATCACTACTGGGTGAGGGAGAGTTGATCTTCTTTAAGGGAGCGATGCTAGACAGGCTGAACAGACTTCAGCGGATAAACTCACACTGAGGGACATCTGAGTACACAAACCTGATTCAATAGGCCTTAACATATAGGACAAACTGCATGAAGTCCTGTGGGCAGGATATGGAAGCAGGTGCAGACAGGGAAGGGGGCATTAAATAATCGTATTGATGAAATCCACAAAAATTTCAATAAAAATATTAAAAATTTTTTAAAAGGGGCTGGAGAGATGGCTTAGTGGTTAAAAGCACTGGCTGCTCTTGCAGAGGACCTGGGTTCAATTCCCAGCACCCACATGGCAGCTAGCAACCATCTAGAACTCCAGTTCCAGGGAATTTGACGCCCTCTTCTGACCTCCTTGGGAACTGCATGGCATGGGTGCACCAACCTGCAAGCAAGCAATACACTCATACACATAAAATAAAAATAATAATTTAAAAAATTTTTAAATCATTTAAAGATTTAACACAAGGGCTGGAGAGATGGCTCAGCAATTAAGACCACCAGCTACTCTTGCAGAGGACCCAGGTTCGAGTCCCAGCACCCACATGGCAGCTAACCATTTGTAACTCCAGTTCCAAGGGATCTGATGCCCTCTTCTGACCTCCTTGGGCATTGCATGACACAGACACACATGCATGCAGGCAATACGTTCATACACATAAAACAGTCAGTGTTCTTAACCACTAAGCTATCTCTCCAAATAAAATATTTTTTAAAAATATTTAATACAAAAAGTCAGGCATGGTGGCACACACTTTTAGTCCCAGCACTGAGAGGCAGAGGCAGGCAGGTCTCTATGACAGGGAAGCCAGCCTGGTCTATATAGCGTGTTCCAGACCAGCTGGAGCTATAGGGAGACCCTGTCTCAAAAAAGAAAAAAAAAAGATTTAATAAAAAGGCATCAAGCATTGAACCACTCCATAACATGCCTCTGTTTATGTATGTGTGAGCATTTGTGTGTGTGAGCATGCATGTATGTGTGCACTTGCAAACGTGTCTGTGTGTAC